CAATGGGACTTCCCGCCGATACGCCGAGGTTAGAATCAGGCCATGGGTGCACTAGAAAGCGCTGGCTCCGTGCTTCCCTTCAGGCGAGCTTCCCCACTCGAGCCCCCCCGGCCTCCTGCCAGGTCAAAACAAGTCTTCGGTGCCTCCAAAAAAAGCTTGACCGCACTCCGGCTGCCGTAAGCATCGGGATGCGGGACGTGCTGTTTAGTGGGTAGAGCGCCAGTTCCCAATGAAAGAAGAGCCAGGGCCCCCGGGACCGCAGAGAAGGGTCCGGATCCACCAGATTCGTAGCTTCAAAGGACACCGCTTCTCTACTGCTGCGCCTTTCCTCCACCGCCTTCTTAATTCATTTTGAAGAAACGGGGGGGGGGATGGACCCTCTCACCCTTTGTCCTTGACTGCCACGATGTTTTTCTTTTCTCGGTTGAGAGGGTGAAGACCTGTAAAACTAGGGGCAGATTCCGGTTGACTTCATCCCAATCTGACAAATGAGATTATTGGTTTGGTTGGTCTGCGGATCGGGGCCTTTAAGAAACAGACCGGAGGGAGGGAGGGAGGGAGGGAGAGAAAGAGCGAGCGAGCGTCTGAACAGGAAACAGGCAGTGCAAACACCAAACGTCGTTGCCGAGATAGACTCACAAGTGGGACTTTTTCAGCGTGATGTGGTTGGAGGGTGTGTGGTGTCACACACACTCCGGCCCTCCCACTTTCCCCAGGGCCCCCCCACTACGAAGGCTTTAGCTCTGGCCCTGGTCTTCCTATACAGTTTATTCTATAATACGTTGTATGGTTCTGGCTTTGTGAGAGTAGATCCCTGTCACTTGGGTTTGCGATCCTCTGGCTCTAATCCACTGACCACATAAAAACAGCATACTGACATGGTAACTCCGACAGCAATGCTGGTTCTGTGGACTTCAGCAGATCATGAGAAGGAAGGGCAGGAAGGGTTGCCTCAGAGCCAGTCGGGTGTAGTGGTTAAGTGCGCGGACTCTAATCTGGGAGAACCGGGTTTGATTCCCCACTCCTCCACTCGCACCTGGCTGGATGACCTTGGGCAAGCCGTAGTTCTGATAAGAGCTGTCCTTGAAAAAAGAGCAGTTTCTGTCAAGAGCTCTCTCAGCCCCACCTACCTCACGGGGTGCCTGTTGTGGGGAGGGGAAGGGAAAGGAGTTTGTAAGCCACTCTGAGACACCTTTGGGTAGTGAAGGGCAGGGTATAAATCCAATCTCTTCTCTTTCTTCTTCTGCTTAGTTCTTGTGGCCCTTTCTTACACACCCAGGGAAATGCCGATTGCCACTTTGGGATCAGGAAGCAATCGTTCTTCAGGCCACTTTGGCCGGGGATCCGGGCGGGGGGGAGTTTGCCACCTTCTGGGCATGGAGCAGGGGTCACTGGGTGTTTGTGTGTGTGTGTGTGGGGGGGGGAGGTAGTTTAAAGTTTCAGGAAGTCAGCAAAGCAGCTAGACAGAGACGGAGAAGGGAGACTGGCAAGTTGGCCAAGAGTGATGAGAAAGAGCCTTGCCCTGGGCTCCAACACCCCACCCCCCCGCAGCTCCCTTCTTCTTTATGGCAACAAACCAATAGTAAATGGGCTGCATGTATGTCTGGCAGCGCAAGGGAGCTGAGGACAGTGGGCAGTAATTCTGCTTGCAGGTGAGAAAGGAAGCATGAATCAAGTGGGGTTGCCAACAGGCCTGAAGGGAAATGTCCTGTCCCTTCCAATCCAGTCTCTTCTTCTTCTTCTCCTCCATCTTCTCCTCCTCCTCCTCCTCCTTCTTCTCCTTCTCCTCCTTCTTCTCCTCCTCCTCCATCTTCTCCTCCTCCTTCTCTTCCTCCTTCTCTTCCTCCTTCTCCTCCTCCTCCTCCTCCTTCTTCTCCTTCTCCTCCTTCTTCTCCTCCTCCTCCATCTTCTCCTCCTCCTTCTCTTCCTCCTTCTCTTCCTCCTTCTCCTCCTCCTCCTCCTCCTTCTTCTCCCCTCCTCCTTCTCCTCCTCCTTCTTCTCCACCTCCTCCTCCTTCTCCACCTCCTCCTCCTCCTCCTTCTCCTCCTTCTCCTCTTCCTCTTTCTCCTCCTCCTCCTCCTCCTCCTCCTCTTCCTCCTCTGCTGAGGTTTAACAGGAACAGGACGAAATTCTTCAGTTAAAGCACTTTGGCTTTGCACTTAAAAGAAAATGAAGCAGGAGCCAGGTGAGCCTCAGGTGGGAGGGCATTTCAGTGGTGAGGCGCCACCACCGAAAAAGCCCCGTCCCTGGTCACCATGATGTTGTGACCAAGCAGATCATCTGGGGCACATCCTTGATTACAGCTTCCCGGTTAAATGGAAGTCCCAGTTAGTCTAAACTAATATCTGTGCTAACCAAGTGTACAACCTTAGTTAAGGAGGAGGAGATACGCTTTGAGGAAGGGAGGCCTGTGTGGGGGGAGAGCGAGAGAGCGCACAGGTTCTTAGATCTGGCGCCTGATTTGTTGGTTGTAGTGTTAGCCCATTTGGGGCCTTCAGTGAGACCCACCGCACGCTTGGAAGTGCTTGCCCCTGTGGAGGATGCTGTGGGCCAGTGCCCCTCTCCGTGTTCTTCCCAGAGGCCATTGCTCATTCTGGGGAGCCCAAAAGCAACGCAAAGCAAATATATGTGCCTTTCTGCTTCCTGATGGCACCTGGTGTTTTTGGCCACTGTGTGATACAGAGTGTTGGACTGGATGGGCCTTTGGCTTGATCCAGCATTGGCGTCTCTTATGTTCTTATGCTTCCTGTACAAAGACTGCCAAATGGGTCTTAACAGAGTTGTTCCTTCCCATTCCGCAGGAAATGGTCTAAATCCAAGAAGTGGCTCCTTGACGTCTTTGAAAAAGTGGCGCGGCATGCGGAGGGAACAAACCCCCCGGCTGGCGATTCCAAGGTAACCCCTTGAGAAGGCTTTCTTTGCGCAGTTCTTCTTGATAGATCTTGCAACTACATACCTTATTTTCTAACTAAAATCCTCAACAGTAATAAATTGAACACCTTATATGTGGGGTATCTTCACAATCCAGTATTCTAATACACTGTGGCTACTCTCAATGAAATTGTACCCATATATTCTCACGAATAATACATTCTGAGGAGTGGTGCGTCAGTGCGCCTCAGCCATATAGCGGTCAAAATCCATTCATAAAGAATCCAGCAACTCGACAGGCAGCTGCGGATGCTCTCCTGTTTCAGGTTCCTCTTTTTCAAGAGTCGCTGTGATTTCACAACTGATATTTTCCAAAAAGCTTCCCAGGCCAAAACTGTTAGAGAGCTTCCTTCTGAATGGAACACACACTTCCCCTGCCAATATTTTTCAAATGCTAAGCCCCACTTAAGAATCTACAGCAGGATCACGGTGATTCTCGAAGAAGAGGAAACTGAAACAGGAGGGCGTCCGCGGCTACCTGTCGGGTCGCTGGATTCTTTATGAATGGATTTTGATCGCTGTACGCCTGAGGCATGCTGAAGTATTACTTCTCAGAATGTATTGTTCGTGAGGATTCGTTCTCAAGAAGAGTGGGTCCAATTCAATAGAGATTAACCACAGTGTATTAGAATACTGGATTGTGAAGATACCCCGTAAATACGGTGTTCAAGTTATTACTCTTGAGGTTTTCAGTTAGAAAATAAGTTATTCCGTTGCAAGATCCCCAAATATATGGTAAAAACCTGAAAAGTAGAATTGTTTGTGTAACGTATGCATTGGATACATGTATTTACAAATTACAAGGGAGTCATTACCGGCTGTAAGAGTGGTTGACCACTGGAACAGTCTGCCTCGGGAGGGGGTGGATGCTCCTTCATTGGACGTTTTCAAGCGGAGCTTGGACGACCATCTTTCGGGTATGTTGTAGGGCTATCTTTCGGCTATGCTCCTGCAGAGTGCAGTGGGTTGGACTAGATGACCTGCAAGGTCCCTTCCAATTCTAACATTCTATGATTCTATAACTTCTGGCAGAATACATTAAGGTTTTACTCATCACGGTGAGCGGTGTTCTTTTGCGGTTTAATTCCCTGCGAACCTGGTTTTGTCAATGTCAGGGCTTTTTTGGTAGAAAAAGCCCAGCAGGAACTCATTAGCATAATAGGCCACACCCAACAGCAGAAACTCATTAGCATATTAGGCCACACCCCTGACAGCACAGCTCATTGGCATATTAGGCCACACCCCCGTGTTACCAGAAGTGTGGTCATCCAGCCACACCCACCTTTCCCTTCTTATTCTGTTTACCTTGTTTGTTGTCCAAACCCAGGGCTTTTTTGTAGCAGGAACTCCTTTGCATGTTAGGCCACACACCCCAAATGTAGCCAATCCTAATGAGTTTCTGCTGTTGGGTGTGGCCTATTATGCTAATGAGTTCCTGCTGGGCGTGGCCAACTTGGAAGCCAGCCGGAACTCCGTTCCTGTGCGTTCCTGCCCAAAAATTGCCCTGGTCAATGTTATTATTTATAGAGCACCAGGCGTTGTACTGACGGGCACTGTACAGCCGTCACACCATTTCCCTCCCAACGGCAGGGGCTTTGGCAAACCAGCTTGGTGGACAAATAGTTTGGGTTTGTGAGTCAAACGGGACATTGGTCTCCTTGTGGGCAGACGGCCCTTCCTCTGGCAGATCCCTAAGACCGTGTTGTTCCCTAACATCTTTGTCGGTTGTTCTTCCAACAGACAGTTCTGCAGCACCTCCTGGAGACCATAACTGGAAAACGCTTTGGTCCTAATTATGGTCTCTTACTCTTCTGGGCAGCTCAAGCGAACGCCGTTCCTGTAAGTACGCGGCTGGAAGAGTCTCCTTCCGCTAGTCAATTAAATTAAACATCTGGAAAGAATGACGGGTCAATTCGTGCATGTAGCCTCTCCGGGAGCCGTTAGTTGGCGGCAGGTGAGGGGGGAATCCTGAGGCGTCCCAACTGAAGAGGGGTGGCCGAACTCGACATGCAGGGAATGTCAGGACCTTGGACAGTGAATGGATAGCGAGCGCCTGATGCTCGGACTCAGTTTATCCAGTAGAGCCCATGAATGTTGAGAAGTAGGATACAGAGGCCTTCCCCCTTCTTTTGCCGCCCCCCCAGGGGTCATTTCCTGCGGGAGTGCACAGGAGCGGAGCTCCGGCAGTAAGGAGCCCAGGGGGCGGGCACATGCAACAAGCCCCACCCCCTGCTCCTAGCAGCCCTCAGTCAGGCTACGAGGAGCAAGAAGCAGCCAGGTAAGTTGCAGAGCCCCCCCCCCGGCCCA